AAGAAGTTTTTTTCCATCATATGAAAGATGGAATGAACCAAAATTTGAAAATTCGCTTCCTTCTATTGTTTGTGGAGGGAAGCCTAGCCAGCTTGCTTGCTCTCCTGGGTTCTTGACTCTTCAGTAACTAATGGCTGAAGGAAGAACTCTTTTCTGTACCATTGTCGTTATTTTCCCAGACACAAAATTCACACTGTGAGATTGAAACCACAGGTTATCAAAATCTGTAAGAAATACCCACCATCACTTCAACATGAGAGTTTAGGAAGTTCTAAAGAAGACTTGTGGAGTACAAATAGGTTTTTTTCTTCTTGTTTTGTTAAATGAAGGACTTGAAAATAAATTTGTCCCTCTGACTATGAAAGCTAGAATTTCTGCCTGGATCTGGAATCCTCAGCGTGACTTTTGAGAAATGACAAGAAAGCAAGGAAAAGCATTCCACTTGCTTAGAAATGTTTTTGTGCCTGTAAGATGAACAAAACCTTGCAGAATCGATCCTGCTAACAACCACCACCTTAATGAGCGTTATCGCTGAACTGATCTATTCGTTACTGCTGATTGAAATCATGTACTTATGGTTTGTGTGCTGCCAGACATTCTACTCCCCCAGAGTCACCCTGCGCAATCATCCTACACTGAAAGTTTACACTTCCTCGGTCTGCTCTAGTTTATGTAAAATGTAGATTATTAAGTTATACACAGGGGAACAGGTGGGTGGAGCAGCTGGCATGAGAAGTGAGCAGCCTGACAACAGAAAAAATATCAGGGTAGATTGCAGTACAAAATTTTTCCTAGGAAATTGCAAATTTCACAATCTGTTCATGAGAACTGATGATACAGCTCATGTGCCAGGTAACAAGTCTGGGAGACTCTAGACTTTACTGGAAGCAGACTATTCAAGACCTTCATAGATCTTGTTCGTTTTGGCTTCAGACTGCTACAGTATATCATGCAATCCTACTCATTCCAGAGAGCATTTCTTTGTGAAATTCATAAGTGTATTGAAAATGTCACAGTAGTTTTTCAGTCTTAACTGACTGACTGATTTACTGTATTTCTGATTACAGATATTAAATTTTAAAGATGTTTTTGTGAAATTTTAAGCAATGTAGGATTTTGGGGTGTTTGTCTTAGGTTCCATTCAGTGACATGAATTGATAAAATTGCACTGATTCTCATATGCAAGGCAAAGGAAAACACTCGACTAAAAATGCTCTTGTTAATTTAGGTGCAATGTGGATTGTGACCTGGTAGAAAGAAATGTTCTGGATTAAAAGAATATCAATTTTAGTATAACACATGCAGGCATAGCCAAGGAAAATATATTAACAGGACAATCTGATAAGCCAAAGTGGCAAGATTTCTACAGTAAGGAAATCGGTAGGTGGCTGTGGAGGAAGTAAGTGAGAAGATAGTTGTGGAAGGAAATATAAACCTTGAGATAACATAAAATATCATAGCAGCTTATTTTGCATCAATTACAAGGGAATGCAAACCATATCAGCCTTGTGGTTATGCCACTTTTGCAAGAGAGCAGAGCAAGGTACTACTTCTGTAAGCTGGCTGTTTACATTCTTTGTTTGTCCCATTTTGACTTGAGAAAATTTCCTCATGAAAATTTCATTAGAACACACATTTCTGCACGAAGCTACTGTTCTAGCATTTCTGCATTCTAGCAAATCAGCATTTTTCAAAAGAAAAGTGTTTAATCAAGTTGTTTCCAGACAAGTCTAATTATAGTATTCTCTTTAAACAGACAGCACTTCAAAAATAAATGCAATGAAACATTCATTATTACTAAGATCTTTTGTATTACTGAAATTACAAGAAGCAATTACAAATATCATAAATGATATCTTGATAAGCATTTCCTATACCATGGAAGAGCCGTTCTTATGTTTCTAATGTGTCACTTAAATTTGAAATTCCTTCTAGTATATGAATTACTGTTAAACACAGTACAAAGATCACTCAGCTTTCATTTCCCCACAAATTCAATTGAGAAATGTATGCATTTGGAGCCTTTCTTCAGAGGAGGAAAAGGAAAAGAGGAGAAGACTGGGAGGGGAGGGTGTAGGAGAGAGGGGGAAGAAAATATTTGAGAAAAGCATGGAGACCAAAAGAGGAGAAGAAAGCTGTTTTTATGTGGGGGACAGAATCAGTAGTAGCTTTCAATATGGACCAAGTATCCTTTACTGGGTGCAGCAGACTTCTTGCTTTTGATGGAAGACCAAGTGAAAGAAGGGTAACTCAAGTGTTTGTGCAGTCACTGGGAACAGTGTGATGTTGATGGTGGGAACGTGTGCATGCTTTTTTTTTTTTTTTTCTTTTTGCTGATGTGGAACAATCGTGAATATTGGCTTGGAAGTAGAATGTGGTGGTTCTTTCTGCTTTTTTTGACCTATAGCTTCTCATAGCCTTTTGTAAAATAACTTGCAAATTCCTGATATTATATAACACCCTGCAGTAAATTTTATAAAAGCAATGGTAAAAAGGAAAACACAGTAATAGAGAATATAGGCGAAAAAGACCTATGGAAAACATGGAACCTTATCTGCATGTTGTCTTAAGGTACGCTTAATCTTGTGGCATGGAGATAGCGCAGGCTTAGAACCATTATGGTGGCAAAAGCTGGGAAGTTTATGTGAAGGCCAACACATTTCTTACTCACTGTCTAGAGTCTGGAAAAGCAAATGACAGCTGTTGGTGTTCTTAATATCAGTATCAAATCCAAGGAAACCATCTGAAACCTGTTGCTGAGGAAAAGTCATTATTCATTTTAAAAGTTCAAAGGGAACGTGAGGAGAGTTCAAGAAGGAGTTTGGCTTTTGAATACTCACAGTTTTCCCAAAAAGCTTTGGGAGTTTTACAGCCTTGCGTAAGAATGTATGTTGAGCATATTTAAAGGACTTGAAAATTTAACTTAATCAAGATATGGAGTCCAAGAAAAATGGCATTCCTTTAATTGAGATAGGCAAAGCAGAAGGAAACAAAACAAAACTATACAATGTCTGATATATGCATTCACATCTTCGTTTTGCTGAAATACATTAACTGTAAAGCATGTTTGGGAAGTTTCTGCAGTACCCATTAAGAGTTAATATGAATCTTGAGATTCCAATATTCTGGATAGGAATGAACGTTGGTTTGGCTATACTATGGCAAAATAAATCTATAATGTGGTCCTTTTCTACTCACACTTAAAAGAGGAGGATTATTCTAGCAAAGCCTGAGTACACATTTGTTTTAAATCATGTTGCCTGAATTGCTAACATTATCTGGGGTTTCAAAAGTGTGGCCAGGGCTCTGAGAAGTCTCGGCATCTGTACTTGTGCACCCAGCTGGAAGTTGGGCACTGAAGTTGATGTTGTGGTAATGACAATTAGAGAGTCATTTTGGGCTGTAGAAAAGCTATCTGTGCTTGAAGTGACCAGTAATCAGCACTTCACAGCATCTTCATTCGTAAAACAAATTGAATCATAGCTCCACTTGGCTTAAGTTGGAAGGGGCGTCAGTAATCTTTTCCAACCACTGTGATATGGATGGGATTTGTGGAACTGGTTTATGAATGATTACTTTGCAGGTACTCAGAAGAGAAGAGCAAGGGCGGTTGGACTCGTTGATCTGTGGAGGTCCCTCCAACCGCTACAATTCTGTGATTATTACACAAACGTCAGGTGGCCTTAAATGATATTGATACATTATAATTACCTGTTTTGAGGCAGCCATAGGCTGTTACCAAGAGGTGTTTTTCATCTCCTTTAAAATGCGATAACTGGAAAAAATTTCATCTAGATTTTTATGAATTTTAGCCTACTCTCAATGGAACTGTACAGAAATAGCTGAACCAAGTTTTTGTTCTTTGCTTTTGAAGGAGTGGGACTGACTAAGTTCTGAGGAACTTTTTATAGAGTTGCTCTCATGCATCCAGAAGCAAATTGGCTTTTCCCTCCTATAATGTCCATCTCCTATGTACTCCTTTAGCCCATAGTCCTAGGTCTTCACACCCTCTTGAATGATGGCATTAATTATTGCTGAGACTGACTCCATGAAGATTTGACTCCGTTAGGAAATTTATTTTGGGGCAATGCACAGAACAGATGTTTTTCAGAGAAACAAGGTGATCAAGGCAGATTTTGTTACTTAACTGAATATAGAATTTCTAAACTCTTAAGTCAGAATGTAAAAGCAAAGCTCATTCTCCGCCTCTAAAAACTTCACAGCTCCTTCTCATCACACAGTGTTCATTTATGTGTTTCCTATGTCAGTGCGAATTAAATCATTTATTACTAGCCTCTAGGAAAATCAAACTTACCTTCATTTTCAAGATGAGTCTGTTTCTCTGTAGAAACCCTTCCGTTAACTGAGCTTAACATGTATTGCTGATCCATTTTCCCAGTTATCCATTCCCATGTTGTATAAATATACATTTATTGAGTCATGCCCTTTGCTATTGTTGGTGAGCACAACTTACTATTATTTTAGCATCACTTTTTTCCACCTTTGCTTGCTTTAGTCTTGCATATCATACTCTACTGTGTTTTCCAGAAGAGATTGTTTCTTAACTGATGAAACACTGTCAAAGCACAGTTATATTATCTCTTCTTTATACATAGGATCATCAACAGGAGAGTTGTCAATAGTGACAAGAAAAAACAAAACAAAAACAAAAAACAAAAAAACCACAACAAACCCAAGTCTTTGGTCACTACCAAAATAGAAATCGATCTTATTATGACATTTTTAAATGCTTAAAGGAAATGGTAGTGAGTTCTGTCTGTTTTGTGTCTTCAGATAACAAAAGGACCTTTCTTGCTCTTTGACTTGATTTTCAGAGTATGTGACTGTGATTAAAGCCCACAGATGAAGATTCACGTCATCTTGGGTCTTTTTTTGGCTATGATATTATGAGTGAATTTACTGCCTTGTGCATCTTTTAGATACATATTTTGCTTTTTTGGGTTTTCAGTGTTGGAAACAGACATAGTATGGATGAAAATTGGCAGAAGAGCATGAAAATCTTCAGAATTTTGAGTCAGGTGGCAGAACATTCAGGAAGCTTCTGGCACACCACAGATGGTTGATATAAACTGTTGTGGCAGAGCAGCTCTGCCAGGAACCCCATGGAGTATTCCTAAAGTAAACTTTTAAAAACACACAAAATATTAAAGCAGGAAGAAATTAATATTACTTGAAAGTACATTTAATATATTGCCATCTTGAAATGGAGTTCCGTATTCTTTTTTTGTTCTAGAGGAGGATTCCCACATACCAAATTCTACTCTTTTTCATCTTTATGCTCTTCATAAAATTCATTCATAAAATATATGTATAATTTTTTTGTATACATGAGCTATTTATATATTTATATGAGAATACATACACAATCACTATGAAAGATAAAGTAAGTTAAATCATGAAATAAGTGAGAATTGCATTACACAAAATCTTGGCATCTGGATTGAGAGTAAGTGAAGACACATTTATACCCAATATAAACACTAAAACATGAGAAAAAAAAAAAAGCTTTTGTGAGAAGAATTTTCAGGTGAAAAAATTCCGTGTACTCAGAAAAAATTAGATCAATAGAAACTTCGAGATTTTTTTAAAAAAGAAATATTACCCATATTTCAGCATTTTTTGCAACTGTGATTTGTGGCGCTTGGCAAATCTTAACAAGTGATATTTCCAGAAGAAATCTCTATCTGTAAAATTCATGTTAGATTCTTAATCTCTTTGATTTTTTTTTTTTTTAATTCCCTTATTAGCTGAAGAAATCAGCATTTGGAAATGTCAGTCAAAACATATTTTTTAAGTGATTATGGGATCCCAAGTTGTGATTCATCTCTTGATAATGATTCCTTTGTACACCACTAAAAAAAAAAAAAAAGTTAATACTTCTTAGGCAGCTTAGATACTGGCTAAAACTTCCCATCTCCAAGCAAGTTTTAATATTAAGTTCAAAATAACTTAGTTGTATAAGTAGGATAAGTCTCACCTTTTTTAGTAGTAAGATATATTCTCTGAGATGGGAAGTATCCTCTCCGTAAGTCCAGAATTTTGAGCATATATATTCTGCAGCATTTTGAGGTGGAATTCCACTTCAGATTTAGTTAAATTATTTCATAAAGGAGGGTAAGCTTGAGGGTACCTGGGCTTATTTGGCTGTTTCTTAAAGCGATACTTCTGTCTAATTTTCAGTGAGTTATTTTACCCTTTACATCTTCTGGTGAAAGTAGTAGCTATTGTGCTATCTTTCAGGCCAAACCCCATGAACGTCAGTAGAAAAATCCCGTGGCTAGGCTTCTTGGGGCAGTGCGTATGGATCTGTATTGGGAGTTAAATTAGATGTTGAACACAACAGCTTTTGAGAAAGTCTATGGAATTACTATACATGTATTTTTTTTCTTCAGTAGAAAAGAAGCAAGTTAGACGCTTTCTAGGCTAAGTCAGAGCATAACTCATAATTGACACAAATGATGGATGCAAAGAAAACTGATTTTAAACTAGGAAAGACTCATGCACTAGTGAAGAGGTTAAGGTTGAGGAAAATCTTGACTGGCTACTTACTACATGCAATTTGCAGCAGCTGCATACCTTTTCCGTGGGATATGAATGCTATGTCATGCCCAGCTTTACCACTGTTATCTTAGAGATTAGAGCCAAGCAGGAAAAGAAAAAGCACAGTTGATAGCCTATTTTTACAATATAATTTGGTAGCCTATTCTTACAATATAATTACAAGACATCATCCGATGGATGACTGTTATGTGCCATTTATGGTGAATCTGTATGAAAACCACATTTTTATGGACCTACTTGAAGACTGTGAGACATTTGTGTGTTATTTTGTTGTTGTACCTTTCCACTTCCATAGCAACAATTTAGCTATTCTCAGCTCGTGCTAATTGTGAGAAAACCAAATTCCATCTGTTTTTGCATAATTAAGTCTGGATAAAACTTCACTTGTTAAACATCAGTAATCTTCACTCCAAGGCTGGTTAAGCAAAATACTGTTTGCTGGTGTTGCATGAAGTCCAACCACTGAGAAAAATGCATGGTCACTCAAAGTCACGGCTAATTAATACTGGAAAACTGGAATAAGTATAAAAAAGTTATATGCCTTGGTTGTGTATGCTGGGGGAATAGAGGGAGTTGTTCATTTCACTTGTTCTTGTTCAAGTTATTTATGTAGAATTAAGTTTTTAAAGATATGACCATTTAATTTGCAAGCAATGGCAAGTCAAGAGTGTCAACCTTTTCAGTTTTCATAAAACAAAGTTGTACCCATCTTTCTCCAGAGTAACTGGGATGAGTTTTCGAAACAGAATGACTATTAGAAAAAAGAGCAAAGGAGGAGGAAACAAAATCCTTATAAATATCTGCTTGTGAAGTAGGGAGAGATCAGTTCTCACAAAAAGAAAATATGGGAGTTGTCAATACAAAATGAAGAATATCAAATGAAATTATTAGCTTTTGATTATTCTGCAAGAAATGCTTGTTTTATTTTTTGATGTAGGATAGTTCGCTTTAGCAATTAATGTGATTTTATATGATGAAATCAATAAGTTAGAGGAACTGCTCTTTGCTTTCACGCAGGTCATAGATGTTTCTGAGAGTTCATTTGAGACAAGTGCTCCAGGATCAGGTTCTAACCTCTGTGCTGCAGTTAGAGTGCTCACTGGGAAATCTAGTTAAGTTTCAATTTGAATAATGTTTTAGAGGTACAGCAGAGTATTTGCAGCACCAACATGGGAGATTATAAGTTCTCTTCCTCTCTCCTCTTTAGAAACTTAGCACTGAATTCAGTAGCAGCTCTGAAAACAGATCTATCTCCAAGAGAAATATTGTGCAGAGCACGAATTTCAGAATGACCTGTAAAACACAGACTTCCAGTCCCCTTATTTCACAGGCAACTGAAAATTAAGATAGCTTTACTCACCTGTGTTTTGTTGACTATGTTCTGTACCATCTTCTCTACCAATGGCAAAAATGGAAAATTAGGGTTTAGCAACCACTTTTAATAGCTACTTCAGCAGGCCCATCAGAATTTCTGTAACTGCTCTCCATTCAGGCTCATAAAACACCTCTCTCTTCACAGCTTCTCAAACGCCTCCACCTCAGCATTTCAAGTAACTCAAGCTGCTTCCTTTCTTGCTTGCTCTCCTGCTTGCATGCCAAAACCAGAAAGCCTTTATTAAGAGCTTTCCTGTCAATCATCCAGAAGGCCTCTTTGGAAATCTGATTAGTATTTGCAGCCTATGTTCAGAAACAGGCTGAATATATCCGGTGCAATTCATACGAAGGGGTATGAGGGTGGGGAGCAATTTAAAAGAGGATGAAGTCTTGTTTCTGTGCTGCAAGATATGTTATCATCTCTGTGAGCAGTGAGATATTTTCAGATTGTAAAGAGTTGTGCACAAGGGAATTTAAGATATGCTATGTCATTTGGGATTGTTAAGGCTTGCCTTTACTGCAGTACATGAGAAACTGGGTAAATTAGGCTGTGCTAGTGCTTGAGACTGCTGTGTTGATACTGCTGCTGTAGCATTATTAGCTTACGGTGGGCTCAGATACATCTACTGACTGTACAACTGTATCAGCACAGTCACTCCCTTCAATTTTCTAAGCCCGTACAAACTGGATAAAGTGTTTAAAAGGAAAGCAAAAGTATTCTGTGATAGGTGCTCTGGAGCCTGTGCTTCATGATTTCACAGAAAGTTGAATTCCGTTCAGAAGAATGGAGAACGGTGAGTGCTGAATAATGCCTACACAGGCAGTGCTGGAGGCTTCAGAGATGGTGACTGCCATGAACTCGCTATTTGTCTGGGCAGACTGCAGCCTGTCCAGCCTTATTTGCTAGACTGCATTGGAGCAGAAGTAGATGACAATGCACTTGGTTGAAAAAACAGAGCGGAAGGAAGAAGTAATGTATTTATGATGTTGAAAGTGATCAGGTTGCATGCTGAAAGGAGAGATATTACTTGGGTATACTGCTTTATTCCTCTAATTCTTGTTAACCCAATAACATTACCAAAATTATACTTGGATGCTTTGTCTAGCTTGCTGCTGTAAATTTTGCTTAGCAACTTTCTGCATCCTGATTTCTGCTACCTGATTAAGTTGCAAAGAAACTCTCAGAGCAATGTGCAGCCCTGCCATCGGCTGCTGGCTCCAGGTTTGCTGAGCGAATGCCTTGGAGCCACAGTGGTGGTGGGACCCTGTGCCTTATCACAATCAAGCCTGGCAGAAAATGGTGGTTGCTTGGTAACGAGGAATGTTGCTGTTCCTTTTTCCAGAGGTTTAGCAAACAGCTGAGGCAACAAATTTGGAAAGCAGTGTAAAGGTTTGAAAAGAACAAATAGCTGTTGAAGAAAAAAGCAAAGACACAACAGTGTTACTTGGATACAGCAGAAGACAACAGAAGGAAGGGCTGTGAGGAGAAGTAAAGGCAAAATGTTCAAGGTCTGTTTTATAGTGTATCTAGTGGCAATGCAGTTCCTTTCTGCTTGCTGAACCAGAAGTATTTTCAGTAAGTTGTTTATTACAAATATTTTCTTCTTCATTTTTCAGTTATTTCCTTTTTCTCTGGGTTTTGTGTTATTCTTCCACTGTATATCTTACTTTCTATTTGCTCTTTAGAAGTAGTTTCTATTGTTACGTCTTGCAAAAAATGAGAGCTGTACTACTTTCAATAAATAGCTATTGTCCTAAGGCAATAGTGGCACTGGTTTTTACTGCTGACTCAATGTGCTCTGTGCCTTGTTTCCAGCTGTTCCAGGTAGAAGATGTGATGTCATCTACATATCTCAATTATTTTTTTTTAGTTATCACAAGTGCTGCAGATACAGATGGAAAAACTCCCTTGAGAGTGTAAGGAAGAATTTACTAGTCTGTTCTTGATCAGACAATATTTTGTAGACTGTTTCCTGTGGAAGTGCTGATTTGAGTTCTGTTTTAGAGAAGGAGGAAGGTGCTCAGCTGAAATTTCCTGTTTCTTGATAATCCATGTGGCAAATGTATGTAGCTAAGTTATTCACAGAAACAAATGATTGTGTGAATGACTCTGTAGTGGACAGGCTTATTTGTGATGGCTGTATCACAAGTACATCAGGTAACTGCAGTAGTTTAAAAGCATACTAGTTATCCTAGAGAAGAAGATAGCCTGGCTCTCAATACGTCCTGTAGTTGCTAGTGACATCTATACCATATAGGTTGAAGTTAGATAAAATATTTTCATTTACATGTCCAGACTTCTCTTCCAGCTCAACAACAGCTTGTTCAGTTTACTCTTTGACTTCATACAGCATTTGTAATGGAGATTTCTCTAAGTATTATTAGTAGGAAGGAAATGCAGCCCTAGTCCTACACCTGAATGTGTTTGCCAGTACAGCAGTCTTCACAGAGCGGCTTCACTGCCTTGTGATTGCCTTTCAGCAGTGAGCAGTTATGCACACAGATACTTCTGTAGGTTTCATTTCTGTAAGATACTTCTCAGCGGCATGAGAGAAATCTCAAGTCTGCAGTCAAGATTTGACATCACCATTGATTGCTCTGATACAGTATAAATTTTCAGTCTTTCCCTTTTTTTTTTTTTTTTTTTTTTTTGCCTCTTAAACCTCAGTTTCTTTTGCCCTGTTTTTGCTATCTCTGATTATGAACGAAGTTTCTTTTCCCTTCAGTTTTTTGAATTTCTCATCATTTTTATTACATACAAAATGCTGTTTCTGCACAATCCTTTTCCTCTGCATATATGATTACACGTGAAAAGATAAAAAAAAAAAGGTGAATCAGTTATCTAAGTCTTGGAAAACCCTAGTTCCTTTTCTATAGAAGCAATACTTAAGTTCACTGCCTTGTTGTCAGATTTATTCGTCTCTCTCCTAGAGTTATGGCGGTCAACTCTAATTGCAATTAAAAAAAAAAAAGTATCTTTTGCTTGAAGCAAAAGAAATGTGAAGTGCTGGAAAATGGTTTTACAGGATACAATATAATTAATGTACGTTTAAAATACTATTAAAGAAGCAAAGATATATTTTCCTATGGGTTTATAATATCTTAGTATTGGAGTTAATTCCTTTAACTGAATTACTGTTACATTTTAATTATATTTACTGTAATAGGAACATAAAGCTTCATATCACTGAAGAGATCAAGTGAAAGAATACTAATGTACTGTATTAAAAATATTTTGTTAAGGAACATTGTGGAGAACTTTCTCTCGAGAATGAGAGATGCCACTCTTGGCTTTCCTTCGTTTGATGTATTTAAGACCTAATTCACCAGTCATTAACAACTGTGAGTCAAGCTTTTATAATGTGATGACATTCAATGAACATACTGTACATCTTTTTTTTTTTTTTTTAACAACTTGTCACACTACTGACCCCTTAAGATAATGCATTTGTTTTTTCTTCTTTGGATGTAGAACTGTTTTTTCTATAATTATTATGGAAGTGATAGAATACCTTTATTTGGTAGCGTTCCAGCTAATTGCTCTGAATGTATTTAAAGGGAAAGGCTTTATTCAAGAAAAGAATCAGCCATTTATAAATAGCACTTAGGTGGATGGAACAAAGAATTAGGGCAGTAATTTAAATAAAAAAATTCCCAGAGTTAAATTTTTGAATTGCCTGCATAACAGCAAATAGCACAGAACTACTGTGGAAACATCTTGTTGGAACTGGTGTTAATCCTTTTAGAAATCAGTAGCATGACTCATCTTGGAAGTTTGTTACAGTATAAGCATTTTTAGCAGTTGACTCTGCACCTGCATTCTCCATCAGAGAAATTTTGGTTATGCAGCATATATAGGTTTTCACTCACTGTGTCTTAAATGACCTAAAAATCTATAGATATTTTATTTTTCATTTCTCCATATCATGAGCCAGCTGGCACGATTGATAGGACACTCATGTTGAGTTGTGACTTCTCCAAAAGTTTTCCTGTAAAGGTGATCAATGAGTATTGAACTGCACTAAACCAAGATGATTTCTGTGCCACAAACCCTTTTCAGCATAGAGTATAGAAAACTTATCTGATATTTTCAACTCAGAGAACTTTGAGACTTTTTTATCTGACATAAAACCAAGCTGTTTTGGCTCTGATGAATATTTAGCTACAAAAATAACATTTTTTTTTTTTCCCCTGGAGATCTTGAAAGGCACTTAGGAGCCAACAAAGTATGCTGGTTTTTTTTTTGGACTGTTGATATAATTAATCAGAATAGTATGTGTCCAGCAAGTTACAGGCTATCACATCCTTTTGCATTATAGCTGCATACAAGGCCTAAAGGTGCGAACTATATTATATGTGAAACATCTTATACTCTCCCCCTTAGGAATATAGTGTCAACAACAAAGAGGTATTAAACTGAAAAAACTAAACTAAAAGTAATGGACCAAATCTTATCATGTAACTAGGTTGCAGTGATTGTAAAGAAGATATCCTGTATGAAATACAACATCCTTGCTTGTGATGCACAGGGCTGTCAGAAGTGATTAAATGAATATATCACAATAAGGGCTAGATTCTCACTAGTATGCTTTAGGCATATTTGTGTTGGAAGACGGATGCAAGTAGCTCTCTTTCCAAAGTAATACTGAGCTGAGGTGATTTTGGGTGCTGTACAGTACTATGTAGATTGCAAGTCTTGGAAGTAATACGTGTGTTATTACAGTACTGTGCCCAAAATAGGAAGGAATTCAGCAGCCCTTTGTTGGGTGCAGTTCCATCAGACACGGCAGTGCTGCAGGATCTGCAGATGGCTTAGAGAAACCTTCTTTATACGGCCCTGTCATGTGGTACAGTCTGGCTACTCTTACTTTGGGCACCTTCGTCCAAGGAGTAGGTGCAAGAGTAAGCTGGCTAAAGCCAAGACTACTTAGGTTTCTGTTAATTTAAGTCTGTGTCAGAAAGACTTTTATTTCTGGTAGTGCTTGGGAAAGTCAAATTCTTTTGAACCTGGGCATTTTGTTACTTGAATCTTTTCGCTGTTCATGAAACACAAGTTCCTCTGCCTTTTTCACTTAGAGGCCAATACTATCTGAAGCCTACCCACAACCCAAGCAGGTTTATGGGTGCCTCACTTAGGAGTTGTTTAGTGATCAGCCTACTTGTCTGGAGTATGAGAGACTGCAGTTTAAAATATCTGGTCCAGCGGAGCAGAGCAGTTTCACTTTGCATTAAGTATTCATTAGGCC